CAAGTGTAAAATTGTTTGACGAATCTCAACTTCAACACTTACATGTTCATGAATTTGACGCTGAAGGCTGCATTTCTTGTTGAATAGTGGACTCCTCCCTGTAATTTCACACGAACCCTTTCAGAATCCTCTTGATTTTTCCTGAATTGAGATTCTTTCTCCAGAGAGCCGTAGTTGAAGCGCGCGCAACCAACTGGGCCCACTCTGGGATGCGCCGTGTGCTTCACATCCCTTCAGATTCGAGGACTCACTTGAAAGATAAAATATCCCTTGGAAAACGTGCGAATTTCGGATTCTTTAACTTGTGTGTGATAAAACACTGAAGTAACTAAGAATTACTAAGCGGACACCTCTAATCACGAAAATTTTGTGTGGGCGGAATAAATTGTTATTGGAAATCCTCTGGCCTGGCATCGATTCGATCCTTGATGTTTGTCCTCCGACGATGATCCTACTGTATCAATCGGGCCCGATCTCTTCCCCAGCGGGCCAATACGACCCCCCCCCCCCCCTCTGTGACGTGTCGAGGATTCCTCAACGCACGCTTGACCCTGTTCACAACCAAGGCGCATTACTGCAATCAGGCTCTATCAAAATTTCAGCGCATCATGATACTGAATTTCGAACTCTTTCGTCTCTATTATAAGAGTCCTGGGAGATCGAGAAACATTGATCGGTTAACTCATGGGCCTACCAGTACCAACTTTTCCTTAATACCAGTGAACACGATGGCTGGAAGACGAAGACGAAGAGAAGTATTTTGGCGAAGTCATCGAGCGTGTTTGGTGGAAGGGAGGTGCAGGGTGATCCCGACCACATTTCACCAGCGTCTAATCCACAACTGACATCCTGTGACGCCATCAAACCGCTTCACCCCCCCCCCCCACACACACATCGTGCTCACTCCCCTTAAATTAAGCCCTGAAAAAAGCTGCACCAACAGCAGGTGCCGATAGGAACTAAGAAAAAAGGCTCAATGGCTGGGATTAGCTGCGCCGTGATGCCCCTTATCCCCTATTTACTCTTGAACCGAAAATGGATAAAATCTTCGAGCATGCAAATGCGATTTGGCTTTCACAATAAACAGAATAACGCAGGCTAACGATGTGCAAGCGATGCTTTAATCCTCAGAAAATTTACTACAAACTAACAGACTTCAGCGCGACCAAACCTTGTTTGGCTAAAGTGGAAAAAGCATCAATTGTCAGTACGCTGCAAAACCTCTACGGACGAAAATTCTGGAGGCAGCGATGTTAAATTGAATGTTCACCATTTTCTATTGTCAGTGCATTTTTTTCAGGCATGCTGGAAAGCACCACGGGAAAGAGTGAGTTGTTCAACCGTTATTTTTTTTTTTTGGAACACTTTTTTCCTATCCTGGCACGAAAGTTTGCTTGTACGGAAGCAATATCATTTCTGAGCATAATCCATTTTTTCTTAGTGTCATGTGATGACTGCATGGAACTGAACGTTCACCTGTTCGACGAAGATCCCGTATGAGGACGGAGCTTCTGTGCTGAATCGTTACACTCGACATGGCTGTAAATATGTGCAGTTCTTCTGCCGATCATTTCACGTTCGTTTTTGTAATAGTTCTATGACACTGCGATTAGGGACTGGGCATCTCCAGTTTTTCATGATTTTTTTGCGCTTTCGTAGTGGATACTGTAAGTGACCATCGACATCTTTCATTCGAAGGAGGTCCACGATAGGGGCGAAGGTGGAAGAAGGGGAAACTTACCTAGTGGAGAGGCAGGCGGATTTTAAGAGTGAAGACAGGCACACAGTGGCATAGAACAGTGTGCCTCCGGCGATCTAGCATGACCACGAAAGGGTCCCGTTTCATAGGATTTTAGGCCATTTTCCCGGTTTTTTTTCTTTACTTTTGTGCCATTTTCCATTTATAACTTAATTTCCAGTAGGTCCACCTTTTCATCGTGAAATCCGCCTTCAATTTAGACATCATACTGATACTTTCACCCATAATCAGTTAATCCCACAGTCGATTTTGGCTATGCAATCTAGCTTTCACTCAAATTAGACCTGAAATGAATCTGCAATATCCAGGGCTGGACAAGCAGTACACACATATATTCTAAACAAGCAAGAAAAATGAAGAGGGGATCTTGAATTGTGTTGATAGTGAAGAGCAGGGAATTCCGCGGAGGCTACCATCCTTTATCCCTTCAGTTGTTGGTCCACTAGCGCACTGGCGACCGCGCGATTTCCCGATGTTAAGGAAAAATGCATCCTAATATTCGGGCGTGCTATCAAGGTCATGTCTAAAGAAGTAGTGATGAACGTTCGCTTGTCTGGATCGTTGCTGATTACCTCCATGAAAAGCGAAAAACCTTCCATCCAGCGAGCGAGAACGTTCGTAAGGGTGCACTGCACTCTCTCCTCGAATCAGGTCACCCAAGATTGAAACACTAAAATTGAAAGCTAAATTGAAACACGTCCGAACCCAAGTCAACCGTTGGCTTCAATTCTCCCAGTCCTGGTGACCTGACACCAGGAGGAGAAGTGAACATCTTCCCCTCCGTAATGACACGGAAATATTTCAATTCTCCTCCAAAATCCGTTGATGAGATGGGTTCCGGATTTCTTCTGCATTCAGTTTTGTCATAACACCAATTAAATGGTTTGTCCCGCGCAGTCGCGGATCCCTTGTTTTTATCAGTCGGCGCAAATTTCTTCTGTCCGGGGCATCTTCCAACCCTGATTCATTGAGGCTCCGCTTGATGCGACCTATTCACTCTTCTCTGAGACTCCTCGCCGTTGCTTGCCCTGTGCTTCGAAAACCATTGCTTTTGCTTTTCTCATCGCCCTGACCTCCTTTCACGTGACATACCAACGTAGTTGGCTGATTGCATTAGTAGACAGTCCTGCATGACCGGAGCGCCATTTGCATCCTACATCAGCGACCCGAAAGCGCTTTTCTGATTATTTAGAAACTAGACCGCATGCAACCTTGCCACGCCACAGGTGATAATAAAGGATAAAAGCATTCGTCGTGATCACACCTACCTTTTGGACTGCACCATCATTCCATTGAGCACTCCTAGGCTTTGAATGGCATAGTGCCTAGACAAAGACTTTGGGGCCACCGAGGCAATCAATGTGTATCCTCCCAGACTGGCCTGTAATAATTAGGGGAGGAAGGAAGGCTGGGCCCTGGCGACTCACGCCCAGTATTGATCGGCAGCCGCTCGCGTGACGTGCCGCTTGTCACTACACCACTTCCGCCTTCAGGTGATAATGGGTCGGGGATTTTTCGAAGGCTCGTCGAGGATTTTCGCCTGTTCAGTCACGCTCTCTCGCACATTCACTCTCGCCACGCGCGAGCCGTCTGTGCTCTTCCGCGTGTACATTCACTCTTGACACTATTTTCACACAGTACAGAGCCATGACTAAGGATTTCTTGACCGTTACTCACCCTGCTGTCCGGTGTCCATCTTTGAGCCATCTGAAGGCCCTTCTAATCGCAAAGGTTTTTGTCGTGAAAGGTCATGTGCTTCACTGGGAATAGTCCCATCTCAATTCCCGACGAGGTGTGAGGGTACAGAAGTTTAAAAAGTGCAAAACATAATCAATCCTTTCAGACCGAGGACGATCGCCCTGTGCAGACCGTATTCAATACAAATGTCTCGGATACTGGTCTACCACTGAGTGTTGAGGTATCGTGCAAAAACGGTCAATGGTTGTACGAAGAGAACCAGCAACAACTTGCCATCACATCGCTGTCGTGCATCTATGAACCTCCACGTGAGCATTACGATCAAAATCTTCGGAAAGCGCACAAGTTATTAGCAGCTCTTTTGCTCCTCTACGGTATCACCTTTGAACTCTGAGTTGAGCACGATAATAGATTGATTGCACAGGGGCTGCCTATTGATAAATCTTGCAATGGAATACTGTGATAGAGTCACATTTTCTGACCAATTTTCAACGTCTTTGTGAGCACAGTATATATCAAACGCCTTCTTGCCAGAAGAAAAACACTTCTCCCCCCAGCTAGCTAACTTGAGTCCTTGAACAGATCCGAATGCTCAAAATAAATCCATTGAAATATGTAAATAGGACGGAATGATTGGTTCATATACAAGAATTCAAAAATTCATGAATTCCTGAATTCAAGAAAACAAGGTATGAAGATTGTAACTTTTTGTTTGTCCGGGCCGAGCACGAGATTTAGCCCTCGCAAGTGGAACATTCCGAAATCCAAACGATAGGGGTGGAGTACATTTTTGGAAGCAGAAGAGTAATAGATCTTCTGTGAGGAGCTACATAGAAGAATAAGGGGCAGGTGCTCCTACAATGAAATCGTCAGGGAAACTTGAGCTGACTATTGTTTCCGATCCTACCGTAGTCCGATAGTAGGCGATAGAGTGTTGAAGTCATGTAATCGGTTTACTTTCAGCAACAACTCCGGCTATGACTACCTGGGCACCAGGAGGTAAGCAGTGCCTTCTTTAATTCTTGTTCATACTAGAGAATTTTTGCAACACGAATTAGGAGTCAATTATTCACCTGACCGTATTCGGGAATGAGAAATTAAAATTTCGTTCTTGCTTTTTTGAAGGACGGGCACATACTTAAAGGCAGCGGTTACGCTAGGTTTGAATGGGGTTTAGAGGGGACGAGGGGGTCCTCAATGGTACGTCAGTGGCGAAAGAAGCAGCGAAATCCGTTCAGGAAACGAGAAATGGGACCCCCTTTTGTAGCCGTTGATTGCGGCTCTCAGATGGACTGCGGCGAAGACCGCGCACGCGTGTACGAGATTACGCAACGCGTGCTGGCACAGGAAACACAAACAGCAGGCATGGCGCCCTAACCGCGCCGCGGCTGGCAACGCAGCTCGCCCAAGCCACCGGTGAATCAGTGGGCGTCACGTCACTGGGGGCGGGGCGTCACGCGGGTCCTGCTCAGCAACCACAGCACCTTTCGCCGTGGGAGGACCACACATCGCTTCCTTGGCAGCCAAGTAATTGCTCCGTGTGGCGCAGGTTCTCCCCCGATGCGAAAATTCCTTATCGTAATCGCTTCCTTTAAAGCATGCTCCAAAATTTATGTGAGTGTAAGTTCCTTGTACACGAATGTGTGAGTATTAGTGCGAAATGGGGCGGCAGTAAAGAAAAGGGGAAGGAATGTTGAAAACACTCAAGTTTAAGGGCTTGCTCACCTTCGAAAGGTCGTGATAAATTGAGCGTGTAAACAGAGTGCTAGATGAAAGAGCGCTACAAATGAGATGGTGGCCGACAACATCATGATGCGGGGGACTGAAGCTGTTGAAGCTGTCTCCACAAGAATCTAGCGCCGTTGG